TTTTGAAGCAAGTATTTTAATAGTTGGTTTCTATTTTGTCTTAAATCTCATATTTCAGTATTTTTGAAAATTGTGGCATTTTACTTATTATATTTGGTATTGACTCTTGGATGAGTAAATTATTCAAATGACGTTCCGCATTTATTTCTAATGTACTATAGTTGAGAAAAAAAATATTTACGCATTTTGGCGTTTATTTAGAATACTTATTTACATGATATTTCGACTTAAGTAGCGCCTTGTGTTTATTGAAAATTGGGGCGTTACACTAGCACTTCGTTCAGATCGGCTCACTTCTACTCCGGAAAAGCCCAATGAGGTTAACATTGAGAGGTGGAATCGCTCTAACCGAATGTGCACGATGGTTATGAAACGGTCCATTCCAGAAGCGTTTCGGGGCTCTATTACTGAGAGCGAAAGCGCCAAGAAGTTCCTTGAGGAAATTAAGCAATATTTTGCTAAGAATGAAAAATCGGAGGCGAGTAACCTTTTGGCTGAATTCGTCGCGATGAAGTATAAGGGCACTTGCACTGTTGATAGGTACCCCATGCACTGGGCAACCTATTTTGCCAACCGAGGTAGTTTTGGGAAGTAGCAGATTGCACAAGAAGTCTTCTCAAAGATCTGGTAATCAGTCAACCTCGGTAATGGATGGGGCAGATACTGAGGATCAAAGATTTGAATTAGGAGCTCCTTCATGGATTACTATTCCAAGTGTTGCATCTTCTCAGAGGAGGAAATCGTCCCTTTCAGATTCAGATGCCGATGTAAAGAACTTGGAAATGAGAAATTTGGGGAATGGCACCAGTCTTGGCGATGGATGGAGAAGTATAGATGAAGAAATTGGGCCGGCATCTCCACCAGAACTCTTGTTCTTACAGCACAGCTTCTAATTAGCATTTAATGTAAAACAGGTAGATGTTTAAAAGTTCTCTTTAACAGCGACTTTTGTCAAGAAGAAATGTGTAGAAACATATCTGGGACGTCGTTCTAAGGATCACTACCAGGTTATTAAACGAGTCAATTGCTCGAGTCTTTCTTTCAATTAATCTGTCATTTAAAGCTTATTATACGCTGGCAATTCTTCATTGATTCTACAACAGTTATTTCTTTGACCTGGGAAATTGTTTCTTACACGTGCTTCCCCTTATTTTGTGATATTAGTCAGTAGGCAGACATTTTATGGCTTCATCATTGTGTTCTTTAGAGCTTGCCATCCATTTGATAGGTCCTGGACCTTCCTTCTGATCTGAAACAAAAGAGAGAGCTTCCTTCTGGTTAGATCGGAGAATTTCCAGAACAGGCGTAAGTGTTGCAGCGCTTGATAACCATTCCCAGCATGCTTTTACTACTGGAACGGAGTATGAATTGTTAGATATAGTAAGTCATTGAGATTTCAGAACTTTTATTATATTTTTTAAAATAAGACTATGATTTGGTAGATTTGGAAAAAGGTGGCATGTGATGGCTGAAGATATAGAAAGTATCAGTGCTATTATACACACTAATTGAAGCAATCTGCTTAGTTACAACAGGTTGGATTATTCATTATTCTTTCCAATTTCCATGAGGTACTATACTAGCTATATTTAAGTCTTTTCAGTGTTTTTGCTGTTTCGAACATTTTCTGGCTCCGTGTTTCCAATGCGTTTTTGGTTTATGATAATCTGGATTGAAATATTTTCAGAAGTCTATTCTCACAAAAAATGATTTATATGTACAAACTCACCCGAAAACGTTCATGCATTACCGATGGAAAAACCCAACTTTGGTTAGAATAAAATTAGATTTTTAGTAAATTTTGATAAAAGTTGGTGAAATGTGTAGTTGAGAAGTTGATAAAAGTTGTGAGTTCCATGATTTGTATGGTTGAAAATGGGTTTAGGGAAAATGAGTTTTAAGAAACGGGGTAGTGATCCACTAGAATCGGGTGACACCTCTCTGCTCGGAGAAAGGGTCAAGGCAAAACCAGCTGAAGGAGGGCTTCATAGCCTTACCTTATTCCTTATTAAATTCAAAGGAGAGCTTTTTATTATTATTCTTATTGTATTGGATATTAGCGTGCAGCAAGCTGAATAAGCCCTTTTCCTTTTTTATTATAAATAAGGTAAGCTTCATAGCTCCAACCTAGTAATGGGTCAAGGCAAAACCAGCTGAAGGAATTGGTTTATTAGTTATTATATAGAGGATTCTACTCGTTGATGAAAAACTCAACGGTGGACTTTTTCAGCTGCTCGACCAAGCAACCAATTACCACCCTAAAACGTAGCCACTTGCCTTCAAACATGTTACTTATGGCAGCCCTTGTCATTGATCCCGAAAAACGTAACTATTTTTCTTGATTGATCTAATTTGAAATCTTTTTGTTCAATGGACAGTGAGCTTCAGAGAAGGAAGCATGCAATCACAATCCCTGAGTTAGATAGTTGAAATTGAATTGCAAGGAGCAAAAATAACTATATAGCTTCTTTCTAATGATTTCCCATTTGGATTTGCTATAGCAATGACCCCTGGAAATTCATAGATATCAGGTTTATGTCATCTGCAAAGCCTGTTTATCAGATAGATATATTACATGTTTTTAGAGACAAATGGTGATGCTTGTGGTTGAAACTGGTAAGTGGTGCATTGCAACGATTTCCAACTGCAAGCTGACTACTGTATAAGGCTAAGTTTATTGTTTCAGTTGATGCTTGTACTTTAGAGTATTGTTATGGACCCGTTTGCCAAGGATTCTAGCCAGATAAAGCAATTCTGGAAAATTATCCAAACATGTTCAAATGCTTATTCTCAGAAGCAGCTTTTGACTTTTCAACAACCCTGTCAAACAGGCTTATTTACTCTTACATTCCAATCTTCTTAAATTAAAAATTCAAAATTTTTGAGGACCGTCTGAGAGAGAAACATAATGCCTTGCTTATTGTTGTTTCCTAGCAGGTTATCTATCTGGGAGAAGTTACAAGACAGGCTCTCTTCACTCAATAATGTCGTCGACAGCCAAAAGTACATCACATTCGCAGGTAATAACTACAACCACCCTGCTTGAAACATTGTCCACTAGCTTCTAGAAGAGTGGAAAACAAGAAATTTAGAGAGCCAAACAGGTGAACATGATTCATACAGCGAAAACAGTGAAATCATCATTCTTCCTCCAGGTGATGAAATCTAAAGTTTTTACTTCTATTATGTGTTTTCAGCCTGAAATGTGGTGACAATAGCAAGGAACATAATTCTATCTCTACATGAATTCTTAAAAAGACAGTACCAGATTAACCTAGCACTTGATTTTCATCAGTGACTATGGCATTTATTTTACCACGCCCTGTTTCTTTTTCTGCGGAGAATTCTTGCCAGTTCGCCCATTTTATGGTTAAGCAGACAGCATGAAAGAACAATCATCTATTCACTACTTGTGCATAGTTAATTTCTGTGTGTAGGCACTGAGCATGTGCCAAGTTTTCAATTTGTGTAACTTCTGACCGTTAAGACAGTTTATACGATTCTGAAAGAGAACTCAAAAATCAGTGTTACTTACATACTAAGGCCATAGCCGGTATCTAAGATTCGTAGCTGAGAAAAGATGGATTATCATGGATGTTAATGGAATATTCGAGCTAGTTTCTTCAAAGGTTCTGCATCTTTATCCTTGCAAACTTGTGCGTGAGCATATTTGGTATTGCTTAAAAGTTAAAAGAATCAACTTTTTTTCGATGGTATCAAGGGTTATACTGCTGAAAATACTATCTAATCCTGATAAATTGCATTATGATATTGTAGGCTATTGTCAAAAGAATCCACTAGGACCACTACTGAAAATTTGGTAGGGAAGTGTGATCAAGGAAAAGCCAATTTGCATCCAATATTCTTACCCTTTTTTGTGAGGTTCTTCCACAAATTAGAAACATTATCTGGTAATGATGCTAGGAATGTCATGATCAGAATCATGTGTATAATTTAAATCTGGATCTTACACTTGTGAACTCACTAGAAAAGTTTTCACTCACTAGCACTTTTGCCATAAATCTTGTAATGTAGCATCTGATGTCCAAGATAACCATAGCAGACAAGTTCAAAAGCTGCTTGCAATTTCCGCAAAAACTGCCTTTTTAAAGACAATCAGCCTACAATTTTACTCTCCTATTCACACTAGTGATTAGACTCGCAAACCCTTTTCATTATTTTTCAAGTATTAACACTTATTTATGGATTTGTTCGAAGTGCACAAAACAAACAGAGACAATGGCAGTGGAATCCAATGCAGTAATTAAGAATTTGATAACATCACCAGAAAAGCATTATATACAAAATTCAAGAACAAGAATAGAAAATGGTGACATGGTGACCTTCATGCTACAATCTCCACAAATCATTATAATTTTCTACGAAAAAAGCCAAAAACCTCATTCCCTTCAAGACATCCTCGTGTAGACTACAAAGAAAGAATGGAGAGGGTGAAAAAAGCTAAGGCAACTGGGGCAAAGCATGAAGAGTAAATTCTAGTTGAGTCACCCATTGCCAAACCAGCTAACCATGATCCATCTGTAAGCAGAGCTTGAGAACCTAAACCAGATTCTGAACCCGGATCCGCCCCCGTCACACCCAATCCGGATCCTGTTTCGGATCCATCCGGGCCACTTGTACCTGTCCCAGATATAGACCCATCTGTAGTTGTCACTGGTGCGGTCGTCGTCGGTGTTGGATCTTTTGAAGATTTTTGACTGCACTTACCAAAATTAAGAGATAATAAGCATAGCCATCAATACTGAAACAGAGAAATGAATAGTAAAACCTAAGAAGAAAATAAAAGAGAAATGAACTTTTTTTTTTACCTAGGCATGGAGGGGCAAAAGGTTACAGTATAATCTGCACCAGAGCAGGTGAAAGTGCTGGTAGGATCATCATAAGCGTAGCTATAGGATCTGGGACATGCAGATTTGAACATCTGAGCATAAACGGACGGCTTGCAGGTGGCGGGTGAGTTAAACGCGCCGCTGCAGCAATACTCTGGACTCCCGAAAGCTTCACACGCACTCTTGCAAGCTTCCCCTCCGCCTACTCGCAGTTCACTTGGGCAGACCCGGTTCAGATCCGTGACGCAACCCGTTGAAGCACACAAACCCGACCCGCCTGAAGCCTCAACTATCATGGGCAAATTGTACCCATCAACTAAGCTGACGTCGTAGAAGTCCTGTCCCCCGGTGCCAAGGGTGAACTCTGCTAGAGTGGCTGGCGGGGATGCACCGGCGCCATTGCATTCCACTTGACCAGACCCACAATCGGCAGTAATGCAAGAACCTGATCCGGATCCGTCGAATGTGCAGCCGGATCTTCCCCACATCCGGCCCGACCACCCCGTAGGAACATTGAAGGTCCGGGAAGACTCCTGAGGGAGCTCGAATCCAGTGCTATCGAGACTAGGACTGCCGGCATTTGCTAGTATCCCTGGCCATACTGTGTACTCACATTTGTTCACAAATGTAAATGTAGCCCCCAATGCACCTGCCGAACAAAAAAAAAAAAAATCAAAATCCCATATTTGAAGTCACATTTTTCTTCCGAAAAACAATTAAAAATTATCTTCAAGAGAAAAATGTAGCACAAACCTCCCGAGGAAAGGATAAAGAAAACGCAGAGACTCAGAACATGGAATGAAGAAGAAATAGAGAAGAGATCCATGTAGGATATGCTGCTAGCTAACTCTTACTTTAATTCTTCTTCTTTTTTTAATAATCTTTAAGCAGAAGGGAATGCTGGAAAAGGTTAAAAAATAAAATTGAAGAGAAGAGTTTGTAATGTTTTGTTTGGGATTATGCAAAATAATGGTGGCTTCTGTTTGAGTTTGTTTGTATATTCAGAGGTCAGGAGGGTACACTGCTGATTCGCAATGGTGATTAGGGCAGCACTATTGAAGAGGACGAAAGGGTGGGGTCGAAACGGAGCTTTGCTGCTGCAGTGTGTATTGCGGTAGATTAGAATGCTAATGAACGATAACATAACCAGAATTGTTTTATAAAACCATTTGTACAGAAATGGTGTTCCAGAATTTCTACAGAAATCTCACATTGGAAGTGGGCTCCACATGAATAAAATATTTGCAAAAAAATTGGACCCCACCTATGTGTGTATTCTGTCCATTTTCTCCACATGAATAAAATACTGACAAAAAAATTTGGACCCACCAATGTGTGTATTCCGTCCATTTTCTGTGTTTAGAACACTCTACACACAGCAAAGTTCATTGTTTTATGGGTTGAGCTGCATTTACAGAGGGTTCACAGAACTCTAGTGGGTAATTTTTTACTTTTTTATTGGGATTAATCTATGTGTACATAGGGCTTAACATAATGTGAGTAGGATGTGACCCATGCTATAGTATTGTGGACCACACCTTACTCACATTATGTCAACCCTTATGTACACAAATAGTATGACCCTTTTTATTGAGGTGGGTTCCATGCGGGACCCATCCCATGTGAGAGGTCGGTAGGGGTTCTGCTTCTGTACAAAGGGAAAAACCCTTGTTTTATTGGTTATCTTAGTACTTTTTTTTCCTATTTAAAATAGAATTAATGGTAAGTTAGAACCTATTTGAACCAATTTTCTAAGCAAAATGCATTTTGAAATATATTTTGAAAGAATATGTATGATTAATAGAGTTAAATCCATCAATCGTCAACTAACTTTATATTTAGTCTCATCATGACCACCGAATTTGATTTTGTTTCATTATGATCATCCAACTTTATACTTATTGTTACCATAATCACTCAATTTTATATAACGTTTCACTATAACCATCCAACTTCTTTTAACCATTTTCACTGATTTTAAAAGGGGTAAAATGATAATTTTGCATTATATATATATATATAATAATTATTTAAAAAAAAATAAAAATAAA